AACAACAACAACAACATATTTATTTAATCATTTATTTCAACCCATAGTTTTCTAAATGTTTGATATATTGAATGAAGAGCATAACAGAGAATTAACTTACGTGAAATGTTGCTTTGAACCATTGGGCCATTGAACATAACAAAGAGTACGTTCAGGCATGACTTTGGTTTTAGAGTAAAGACACTGAGGAAAAGCAAGTAGAAATGCTAGAACCCAAATACTTCCAATGACAATCTTGGTAGCTGTGGCAGACAGTCTGGGTTTCAAAGGATCAATAATAGCCATATACCTGTATAAAAACAGACAAAATTCATTAGTCTATTCCCCTGTTAAGAGAGTTTAATGTTCTGAAAATCTATAAATGGTCAAAGTTGTCTCCTGGCAAAAAAGTTGATAAAGATTGTATTATTTAGGAGCAGCAGAGAATGGTGAAAGAGGCATCATTCTAGGAATCAAACAGACCTAGATTCAAACTAGAAAATTCATTTAACCTTTCTGACCTTCAGCTTTATTGTTTTTAAAGCAGATATAAGAACACCCACTTCTTAAAGATGAAGTGAGGATCAAAAAAATAGGCAAGTGAATGGCTTTGAATATCTAACACATTACCACAATTTTAAAAATGTGGACCAAATTAAATAGAAAAGATATATACCAAATGCTTAAAAATACCAGTTCCTCACCTTAAAAACCTTAACTTCTCTTTTTTATGTTTTACTGAAAAGAAAATACTGCAGAAATAACATGCATGATACCTACATTATTGCAAGGATGAAGAATCATTATGAAGTATATTATCAACATGTTCATTTAAGATCAAGTACAAAGTTCAGGATTCAAATCATAACAAATAAATAGAGGTTTATTGGGGCTATGCCTCCTGTTATTTCCCACATCCCCAAAACTGAGTTCATACTGCTTCCTGAAAATGTTCTCCATAGTAAGTATGTAATTACATAACATAGCTATGTCAAATATATTTGATGCTCTCAAAAACACACTAACATAAGACTTAGAGTATAGCAACTTTTCAAAAGTTGGGACCTCTCTGAATCTAGGAACAAAAGTCAAGCTTTTTTCATTTGGTGAAGATAATAGTAATATATCTAGGTTATGAAATTTCTAATTTTAAAGTGAACAAAAAATAAGTAAATTATCAAATTCAAGCTACTGTACAGAACACAAAATATACCAAACTGATTATTGTTTTTGAACCCCAGTGGTGCTGTAGGATAAACAACTGTGAGATTGATGGTTCAAACCCACTGGTTACTCCTTGGGAATAACATGAGACTGTCTGTTTTGGAAGAGGTGCAGCCAGAGTGCTCCTTGGAGGCCAGGATGGCTAAGCTTCATCTCTCATACTTTGGACATATTGTCAGGAGGGAACAGTCACTGGAGAAGGATGTCATGCTGGGTAAGGTGGAGGGTCAGAGAAAAAGAGGAAGACTCCTAACGAGATGGATTGGCCAGGTGGCATCATTGATGGACTCAAGTGTGGCAGCGGTAGTGAGGTTGGCCCAGGATCAGACATTGTTCGTTCTGCTGTACATGGGGTCACTATGAGTTGGTTCTGACTTGATGGTACCTGACAACAACAACAACGTATGCTTTTTTAAAGATTTATGGTCTCAGAGAACCCTACATAAGGTAGCTGTGAGTAGGAAATGACTTGATGGCAATGGTTTTGGTTTGGGATATCAATAAACAGACTATTTAAATTATATTTAAATAAGCTATTTAAATTATATCTGTCATTTTGCAGTTCCCCAAAACATTTTGATTTACGCAAATTTTAAAATGCAATATTTTTACCAAAAAATGAGTTACTTAATTAACAAATGTTTTAACTTTAAACCATATGTTTCAAAAGGATCATAATTTATTAATTCATTTATTGTTGTTTATGTTTTTAGCTATTCATTAGAATTAAATATTTGATAGATATAATTGAATGTAAACTTATAAAATCTCATTGCCTTCCATTAGATTCTAACCCATGTGACCCAATAAGACAGAGTAGATCTGCCCTATAGACTTTTCAAAGCTATACATTTTTATGGAAGCAGATTGCCATATTCTTTCCCCAACAGAGCAGATGGTGGATTTAAAATGCAAACCTTTTGTTTAGTAGCCAAGTTTGTAACCGCTGTGCCACTAGGGTTCCTTATAGTTAAGTCTAGGTATAAACAATTCTTCTATAAATTATAGTTACAATTTACTTTAAGGAAATATTCTTAATTCAATATACATAACTTTTAAGTAATGTGAATCTAATCTATGAAAAGATACCTAGAAAAACAGGCCCATGTTTTAGGAAAATAAAGTGAACCACACAAAGAAAATAAAATTCACATTAGAAATGAAGACTATTTAAAATTAACTTCTCATGTGTTTGATGCTAATAAATAAAAATAGCAACATCAAGTTATTGCTAATTACGTTAGGTTGCTGTCGTTGTTAAATGCCATCGAGTCAATTACAACCCATAGCAACCCTGTATAGGGCTTCCAAGGAGCAGCTGGTGAGCTTGAACCACCAACCTTGCAGTTCAAACAACTTTGCAGTCTGATGCATTAGCCACAGTGCCACACCAGGACTCATAGTAGTTGGAAAATAAGGCTGTGGTGATAGAAATGATGCTGGAGACGCCATGATAGAATTTTGCAAGACCAATGACTTATTAATTGCAAATACCTTTTTAAAACAACATGAAAGATGATTATACACAGGGACCCCACCAGATGGAATACACATAAATCAAATTGACTAAATCTGTGGGAAGAGATGGTGGATACGCTCTATATCATTAATCAAAACAAAGCCAGGAGCAGGCTGTGGAACTGACCATCAATTGCCCATATGCAAGTTTAGGCTGAAGCTGAAGAAAATTTAAACAAATCTACTAGAGTAAAACAGTGACCTCAAATATATCCGATATATATTCTTAATCTAGTATATATCTCTTAATTTAGAGAGCATCTGAAGAACAGATTTGATTAAGTAGACACATGACAGAAGATCAGAAAACTTTGGGGGTGATATTAAGAATATCATACAGGAATAAAGCAAAAGTTCATTAAGAAGACATAAAAGAAGGAAAAGAACAAAGTGGATGTCAGAAGAGACTCTGAAACTTGCTCTCTATCATAAATATGCTAAAGGAAATGGATAAAAAGAGGAGGCAAACGATCTGAACAGAAAACTTCAAAGGACATCTCACAAAGACAAAATCAAGTACTATAATGAAATGTGCAAAGACCTGGACTTAGAAAACCAACAGGGAAGAGCATGATCAGCATTTCTCAAACTGAAAGAACCAAAGAGAAAAAAAATTCTAACCTCGACTTGCAATAGTGAAGATTTCTATGGGAAGAATAATGAATGTTGTAGGAAGCATCAAAAGAAAATGAAAGGAACACACAGTTACTGTATCAAAAAGAAATGGATGATGTTCAACCATTTCAATAAGTAGCATATGATCAATAGCCAATGGCACCCAAGGAATAAGTACAGTGTGCACTGAAGGTGTTGGCAAAAAAACAAGGTTCCAGGAACTGATGGATACAAACTGAAATCTTTCAACAAACTGATACATCACTGGAAATACTCACTCATCTATGCCAAGAAATTTGGAAGACAGCTTGGCCAATTGATTGGAAGAAATCCCTATTTGTACTCATTCCAAAGCGAGGTGACCCAGTGGAATGCATAAATCATTGGACAACATCATTAATATAAAATGCATGCAAAATTTTTCTGAATTAAAAAATGGCTGCAACAGTACATTGACAGGGAACTGCCAGAGATTCAAGTCAGATTCAGATTAGGATGTGGAAAGTGGGATAGCATTGTTGATATCAGATGGATCTTAACTGAAAACAGAGAATACCAGAAAGATGTTTACCTGTGATTTATTAACTATGCAAAATATTTTGATTATATGGATCATGACAAACTATGGATAACATTGTGAAGAATGAGTATTCCAGAACACTTAATTGTACATAGACCAAGAGGCAGTCATTCAAACAGAATAAGTGGGTACTGAATACTTTAAAATTAGGAGAGGTACGCTCCAGGATTGTATTTTTTTTTTTTAACCATACGTCTTCAATCTTTATGCTCTGCAAATAAACCGAGAAGCTGGGTGATATACGATAAGGAATGTGGCATTAGGCTTGGAGGATGACTCATTAACAATCTGTGATATGCAGATGATATAATGTTGCTTGCTGAAAGTAAAGAGGACATAAAATACTAATGAAGGTAAAAGACTATGGCCATCAGTATGGATTGCACCTCAATGTAAAGACAACAAAACTCTGCACAACTGGACCAAATAATAACATCACGATAAATGGAGAGAACATTGAAGCTGTCAAACACTTCATTTTATTTTGATCTGCTCTCAAAATTCATGGAAGCAGCAGCTGAGAAATCAAATGATGTGTTACATTAGGCTAATCTGCTACATAAAACTTATTTAAAGTGTTCAAGAGCAAAGATGTCAGTTTAAGGACTAAGGCATACCTGACTCAAGTCTTGGTATTTTCCATTGCCTCATAAGCATGTGAAAGTGAGACAGTGAATAAGGAAAACCACAGAAGAATTGATGCATTTGAGACATAGTTTTGGAGGAGAATATGAAAAATATCATGGACTGCCAGAAGAGCAAACAAATCTGTATTGGAAGAGCACAGCCAGAATGCTCCTTTGAGACAGAACGACGAGACTTTGTTTTTAAAACTTTGGACATGTTATCAGGGTGGATCAGTCTCTGGAAAAAGACATCATGCTTGATAAAGTGTAGGGCTAGTGAAAAAGATGACGACTCTCAACAAGATGGATTGGCACAGTGACAGCGGCAATGGGCTCAGTCATAACAAAGATTGTGAAGATGGTGCAGGACTAAGCAGTGTTTTGTTCTATTGTTCATTGGTGTTGTTGTTAAGTGCTGTCGAGTCAATTCCGACCCTTAGCAGCCCCATATATGGTTTCCAAGGAGCAGCTGGTGAGCTTGAGCCACTGACCTTGCAGTTCAAATGACTTTGCAGTCTGACGCATTAGCCCACAGCGCCACACCAGAACTCCTGGTGTTGGAACTGACTGGATGAAACCTGAAAACAACAACAACAGCAAAATAACTCTATTTTATAGAGTTACATTATTATCTCAGATTTATAGAAGAATTCGAGGTTTAAAAGATTAAGCGAACTGCCCAAAATAACTCAGAATTTTAGAAGGGCACTGGAACACATCATCAATTTTGTCAGTGTTAAGAATCCA